GATTTCTAGCACTAGAGCGTAGACTTTCAAAGGATAGTCACCTCAAACGACAAAACATAGAGTTTTTAGATGAATATGAAAAATTGGGACATATGACCGAAATAGATATTGAAAGGATTATGTCACCACATTACTTTATCCCACACCATTGTGTGCTTAAACCCGACAGTACCACCACCAAGTTACGTGTGGTATTTGATGCATCATCCAAAACAACATCAGGGCAATCTCTCAATGATTTACTACATATCGGACCAACTGTTGAAAGTGAATTACTGTCTATTTTATTACGATTCCGTCTTCCTCGTTATGTGTTTACAACAGACATTGAAAAGATGTACCAACAAATACTTGTACATCCAGAAGACAGACAATGTCAGCTTATCGTTTGGAGAAATGAACCAAGTCAACTTATAAAATACTTTGAACTCAACACAGTAACATATGGTACTAGATCAGCACCGTATCTAGCAACCAAATGTTTGCAAGTTTTAGCTGATGACAATATGCAAAATTCATTCCTCACCACTGGAGTGGACTTTTGCGGACCTTTTTGGATACATTACAGAATCCGAGGCAAGAAACCACACAAGGCATACATTGCTGTGTACTGTTGTTTTACAATTAAAGCAGTTCATCTCGAAGCATTCATCGGATCACTGAAACGTTTTATTGCTCGAAGAGGACATTGCAAGAATTTGTTTTGTGACAATGCCACAAATTTCGTGGGAGCAAGCAATCAATTACTTGAACTTGCAGACTCAATTCAAACAAGCAAGGCAGAAGAGAAGATAATTAATGAATGCAATGAAAGAGGAATAACATTTAAATTTATACCTCCTCGTGCACCACACTTCGGTGGACTGTGGGAAGCAGCAGTCAAATCAGCAAAACACTTATTGATACGAAGTACTAAGACCACGTCACTAACATATGAGGAACTAGAGACTGTGGTATTAGAAGTTGAAGCAATACTGAACTCTCGACCATTGACACCTATGTCGAGTAATCCGAATGACTTGTCAGCACTAACACCTGGTCATTTCTTAATCGGAGAACCACTCACAGCAATGGCAGATGCAAAGGCCCAATCAGGAAATATAAATCTGGTGACAAGGTGGAAATTAGTTTCTCGCCTCAAATTGAACTTTTGGGAACGTTGGAAAACCGAGTACCTCACTGAACTACAATGTCGACACAAATGGAAAGCAGCCAATCCAAATATAAAAAAAGGTACCCTTGTAATCATCAAGGAAGACAATGTTCCTACATTAAAATGGCCGCTTGGACGTATTTCAAAGGTATATAAGGGAGATGACGGTCTTGTTCGCGTGGTTGATGTTAAAATGGCTTCAGGAACTCTAAGACGTCATTTGACAAGACTAGCGCCTCTGTTTCCAGCCGATAACCAATCTCCTGTTTCTGATGAACAACTTTCAAAAAGTTTTACAAAAGCGAATTCGAAAACAACACACGAAGGCGCAGTTCAAGACGAGCCACCTAAAAAGTATTCACGGCCAATGTCTAATTCATTACTGTGCACAATGTTATTATCTCTATTATTCCTGCCATTGGTATTAGGGAATTCAGTGAATGTAACACGTTTCGACAATAATTTAGGAATATACTTTGAATCCATTGGCTTGATGAAAGTAGCAACGGCAGAATGGAAAATGATTGTTTACTATGATCTTCATCCATATTGGACCGAAATGGACTCATTCAACAACGGGACTAAAACCATCAAACGTTTATGTTAAGAATTACAAAACCAGCTAACTAAGGAAAACTTGACGTATCTTCCCTCTAGAGTGCGATTAAACAGTATTCATCATCATACGATAAGTTATTTGGCGTTGTTAATTTCTATAACAATAATAATAATCATTTCTTGGAAAACCAAACATAACATATGTCAGAAACACACAATAAGCGAAATTTCAACACGAGGAAATGATATGCAGAATGCAGAATTACGTCAACAAAATTTGGACTTCACTGTGACCACAACCTAGGACAAGTTGAGTTGGCACTCAACGGCGGGGAGAATGTTTATGTTTGTATTTAATTAATATTATTTTATATTTTTGTTTTTTTTGTTATGATATTTGGTTACATGTGTTTACATATTATTTGGGCCAACACTGCGACCAGTCATTGACCAACGAAAAGTGCAATTTTGCATTATCAGCTTTTCTTGTTGGTCAATGCACTGAAGAAAGTGTGTAATATGTTGGCCTATAATTATGTTAGCACAGCGTAGGCAAATTTATTTATTTGTGAATTATGCATTAATATTTATTGTCAATTAATGCATAATTTAATAGCTTGTTAATAAAATAATTTTGTATAAATATAAGAAATAATTTTAATAAAGTTCAGAAGGAACAGAAAAGAAAAAGAAACGAAATCAATTATAACTTTCTTACTTTCTCGCATCGATTAGTTTGGGTTTCAAGTGCTCAAACTAATCAACATAGAAAATACAAGTAGTTTGGGTTACAAGTGCTCAAACTACTTTACACATAAAAATTGGCTACCAAGCTAACACAGATTAAGGATCTGGGTTAGCACCAAGTAGCGTACATTTTTTGGTGACACCGACGTGATTATTGATATAATATCAATTTTCATTTCATTATCCTGACGAAGAACACTTCGAAGGAGTCAATTACCTACAAAAGGACACACCAAAAGGTCTACTTATTAACCAGCTGAAGTATTTATTCATCGGAATTTTCGGACCGAAAATTCAAACATCGCCATGGATGTGTTATTAAAGAAGCAGTCAGAGCTCGGTACAGAGATTGAGCGACTGATAACCAACTTTAAAAAGGACTCTAGTATCCGGAAGCAGGATACCATTTACTATGAAGACCGACTAAAGAAGCTAAATTCCCTATGGAATGATTTTGAAATAAATGATGCTGAAATCAAAGCATTGCCACAACCTGAACTCGAACACGAGTATTTCAGTACAGGTTACTTTGAAAAAATCTCCAATCTAGTAGTCAAATATGATGAACGATTCAAGTTGGAGAAATCAAGGCTAATCCCAAAACCACAGGACGGGAAGCCAGTAGTAAGCCCAAGAGGGTCAAACAAAGCTACATCGCTCATGCGAAACATCAAAAAGCAATCCTCATTAATGCATGCATTACGCGCAAGCATAGATGAAATTTATGAGGAAATTACCATAAAACATCATCCTAGTTATTATGATCTGAAATATTCTCTGATAGAAAAATATCAGAAGGATCTGAGGGATAACAATGATGAAATATGGTCATCAGCCGACGCAGAAGACATCGTCGGATATACTTGGGATCAATACTATTCAACGGATAAAGATGCCCAAAACGCGTTGATTTATTTTAAAATAACACAGTCAACCAACTGAAGGATTGACGGCAGCAACTCAACAAATCAGACTTCCAAAAATAGTTTTACCAACATTTGATGGAGACTATTTGAAATGGATTGAATTTAGAGATTTGTTTCAAAAATTAATCCATGATCAATCAATAAGCGCAGTTCACAAAATGTTCCATCTATCTACAAATTTGGCGGGTGAGCCGAAAGCCCTCATACGGCATCTGCCAATTTCCGAGCAAAATTACAATATAGCTTGGGATATTCTGTCAAATCGGTATGACAACAAACAACTCTTGGTGACAGCATTACTAAATAAATTGTTATCACAACCAAATATAACAATTGAATCAGCAAGCAGTCTTAAGGGCATACATGATGTTACAAAAGAATGTTATTATGGATTAGCAGCTCAAGGTATTGATGTTAAATCTTGGGACGCCATAATGGTTCACGTGATTATTAGAAAGCTAGACAAAGCTTCACATACAGCATTCGAGCAATCGTTAGAAGACAGCCGAAGAATAATTTCATTAAAAGAATTATTGCGGTTCCTAGAAGGAAGATTTCAGGCATTCGAATCAATGACGAATGGAAACCACAAACAAAGTCACAAACCACGACATCCAGCAGTAGCACTTGCAGCTACAGACTCAGGATCAAAATGTATTACTTGCAATAGTAGTCATCAATTATTTTCATGTGAAACTTTCAAACGTAAATCCATACAACAGAAGTATGATTTACTAAAACGTCATAAATTGTGCACAAACTGCATGAAACCTGGTCATATGGCATTACAATGCTCCAGCAGGAGTTGTACTATATGCCAAAGAAGACATAATACACTGTTGCATCAAAATAGACACCCAGTTCAACCATCAAATCATAAGTTAGTTGAAAACACTTCAAGGCCACTTGCACAAACAACTCTAATGTCATCCATCAATCATGGTCATACCAGTTGTGTTCTTTTGGGAACAGCAAAACTTTTAGCATCTAACTCTAATGGAAGAACAGTCGAGTGCAGAGTAGTATTGGATTCAGGTTTACAAATAAATATTGTGACTGAACGATTGGCATCCAGATTGGGTCTGCAAGTAAGCTCCAGTTCGATTTGCATCGAAGGCATAGGGATAGGTAAATTGAGTTCTAAAAGTCGTACAACACTTTCTGTGCAATCAAAAGTGACCGATTACAAAATAATACTTGAAGCATTTGTGTTGCCAAAAATTGTGTCCAATCAACCATCGCAACACTTACAAATTTCAAATTGGAATCTGCCCAATAACATCCAATTAGCAGATCCTACATTTTATAAGTCTGATAAAATTGATATGTTGCTTGGAGCAGAATTTTATCATCAACTCCTAAGTCCTGGTCAAATACAACTTTCAAGGGAACTACCAATTCTACAGAACACTGTGCTCGGATGGATCGTATCTGGAAAAGTCCAAAATGCTAACACAATGATTGCAACATGTGGAATAGCATCAGAAGATAGTTTAGAAAATGCAATATAACAACTTTGGAAGGTTGAAGAAGTTGATACTCACTCAAAGGTCTTGTCAATAGCAGAGCAACAATGTGAAGCTCAATTCACTCAAACTACATATCAGAATGTTACGGGACGATTCATCGTACGTCTTCCTTTTATAAATGACAGATTCGCTTTGGGAGGTTTGAAAGACATTGCTACAAATAGATTTCTAGCACTAGAGCGTAGACTTTCAAAGGATAGTCATCTCAAACGACAATATGTAGAGTTTTTAGATGAATATGAAAAATTGGGACATATGACCGAAATAGATATTGAAAGGATTATGTCACCACATTACTTTATCCCACACCATTGTGTGCTTAAACCCGACAGTACCACCACTAAGTTACGTGTGGTATTTGATGCATCATCCAAAACAACATCAGGGCAATCTCTCAATGATTTATTACATATCGGACCAACTGTTGAAAGTGAATTACTGTCTATTTTATTACGATTCCGTCTTCCTCGTTATGTGTTTACAACAGACATTGAAAAGATGTACCGACAAATACTTGTACATCCAGAAGACAGACAATGTCAGCTTATTGTTTGGAGAAATGAACCAAGTCAACCTATAAGGTACTTTGAACTCAACACAGTAACATATGGTACTAGATCAGCACCGTATCTAGCAACCAAATGTTTGCAAGTTTTAGCTGATGACAATATGCAAAATTATCCATTAGGTGCATCTGCTTTCAAACAAAACTTCTATGTAGATGACTGTTTACACGGGGCAGATAGTCTGAGATCATTGTTGGAAACTCAGAGTCAATTAAACAAAATACTGACAGCAAGCGGTTTTAAATTGCGAAAATGGTGCGCAAATCATCCAAGTCTACTACAAGGAATTCCACACGATGACTTAGAAGTCAATTTAGATTTAGAAAATAACGATACAACAAAAACTCTTGGGTTATCCTGGTGTCCAAAATCTGATAGTTTATGCGTCAAGGTTAAATTGGAACCTGTTTGCAGCACGACGAAGAGCAGTGCAACCTCAGATTTAGCAAGGCTATTTGATCCACTAGGACTTTTGTCACCAGTTGTGGTGATGGCAAAAATCTTTATTCAAGAATTATGGAATTTAAAGATGGATTGGGATGAAAAACTGCCGACTGAATTACATAAACAGTGGTTAGAGTTCCGGAACAATTTGACAAAAGTAAATTGTCTGCAGATATCTCGTCATATTTTCAAAGGCGAAGTTCCTGCCAACATTCAATTACACATCTTTACAGATGCATCAGAAAAGGCATATGGTGCTGCAGCGTATTTGCGATCAACACTTCAGAATGGTCAAATTATTGTACGACTATTGTGCGCCAAATCTCGGGTTGCACCTTTGAAAAGGTTGACATTACCTCGTCTCGAACTTTGTGCAGCTGTGGTTGGCGCAGAACTAGCAACAAGAATAAAGAACGATCTACAAATAAGAAATTACCAGACGTTCTTTTGGTGTGATTCACAAATAGTGATATCATGGATCAACTCTCCATCATCAAAGTTTCACACTTTCGTTGCAAACAGAGTAAGCAACATTCATCATTTAACAGCCACAAGTCAGTGGCGCCACGTCAGTTCGGAACACAATCCAGCTGACATTTTATCAAGAGGCCTTGCACCCCATAAACTACAGTCATCAATTATGTGGTTTTATGGACTTATGTTCCTGCATGGTCGGGAAGAACTGTGGCCTTCAAAACCATCATCAGCGCTAAAATCCGAAACCCTCATTGATCCTGAACGAAAGAAGGAAACTCCAGTATCTATATTATCTGTTGTTGAAGGCACAGCAAATCCTGGAGAGTTCATATACTCAATACGACACAACAACTCATTTGGAAGACTTCAACGGATATTATCGTATATATTAAGATTCGTAAAAAGAACCAGAAGAAAACAAAATGATCATTCAAGCAATTTTTTGACTCCAGATGATCTAGATGCAGCACATCAGGTCATCATCAAAAGTATTCAATATGCAGAATTTAAAAATGAAATCAAAATTATGAAATCTGATGGAAGAATAAATAAGTCCAGTGCATTGGCATCACTAGCACCTTTTACTGATAATACGGGCATCATAAGAGTTGGTGGACGTTTGGATGCAGCCTCATTATCGTATGACGCCAAACATCCTATGTTGTTGCCTTATAACAACCCCATTGTCAAATTAATAATGGAACAAGTCCATAAGAAATACATGCACTGTGGTCCGCAGTCTCTCCTAGCTAACATGCGTCAACGATACTGGCCAATTAAGGGCAAATTGATGGCAAGGTCAGTAGTACAACATTGTGTACGTTGTACTAAAGTAAGACCACGATTTTATGAACAACTGATGGGTAATTTGGCAGCGACAAGAGTACAACCTGGGCGACCATTTCTCACCACTGGAGTGGACTTTTGCGGACCTTTTTGGATACATTACAGAATTCGAGGCAAGAAACCACACAAGGTATACATTGCTGTGTACTGTTGTTTTACAACTAAGGCAGTTCACCTCGAAGTAGTTAGCGATTTAACCACAGATGCATTCATCGGATCGCTGAAACGTTTTATTGCTCGAAGAGGACACTGCAAAAATTTGTTTTGTGACAATGCCACAAATTTCGTGGGAGCAAGCAATCAATTACTTGAACTTGCAGACTCAATTCAAACAAGCAAGGCACAAGAGAAGATAATTAACGAATGTAATGAAAGAGGAATAACATTTAAATTTATTCCTCCTCGTGCACCGCACTTCGGTGGACTGTGGGAAGCAGCAGTCAAATCGGCAAAACACTTATTGATACGAAGTACTAAGACGACTTCACTAACATATGAGGAACTAGAGACTGTGGTATTAGAAGTCGAAGCAATACTGAACTCTCGACCATTGACACCTATGTCGAGTAATCCGAATGACTTGTCAGCACTAACACCTGGTCATTTCTTAATCGGAGAACCACTCACAGCAATGGCAGATGCAAAGGCCCAATCAGGAAATATAAATCTGGTGACAAGGTGGAAATTAGTTTCTCGCCTCAAATTGGACTTTTGGGAACGTTGGAAAACCGAGTACCTCACTGAACTACAATGTCGACACAAATGGAAAGCAGCCAATCCAAATATAAAAAAAGGTACCCTTGTAATCATCAAGGAAGATAATGTTCCTACATTAAACTGGCCTCTTGGACGTATTTCAAAGGCATTAAGACTGAAAAGTTTTCGGAAATTCTCATTTAAAATTCGCGCGCTGTATATTTTTCGATATTTTAAGTTTATGTAGTTTGGCAGCACTGTCTTTAATTACTATGCCAAAAATGAGGCGATCTGTCAGACAGTTCGTTTACGGCAGCTGTTGAAACCAGTTCACCTCAGTAGTGCGTTGCGAAATGTCTTCGACGGTCGTACGACCGTCCTGAAAGGCTTTTTACCACTCATAAACTTGAGTTTTCGATAAAACTGATTCCCCATAAGCCTTTTGTAGCATTCGCAACGATTCTGCACACGAAATTTCGTTCGAAACACAAATTTTGATGCAAACTCTTTGTTCAATATTTTTTTCCATTGTTTTTTTCGCAACGCACTACTGAGGTGAACTGGTTTCAACAGCTGCCGTAAACGAACTGTCTGACAGATCGCGCTCATTT